GATCTTTCTATCCGGCCAGCAACTAGATGAAGGGCTGACATTGAGTGGGATTTGTATTTCCTAGGAATTTAAATGGCTGTCCTAGGTTGTTGGTCGCTGGGAAAGCTAAAAATTTAATCATTCAGATTTTTAAGACCTAAAATTTTGGTTCCTATTATCCAGGGTTCCTGGATGAGTATCTTGCAGCTCATCAAGGCGGCGGCATAATGTTGCCGTAGCCACCCTTTTGTGCTGCAAGTTACATTGTATAATCGTTACCTCTATTATTGCTTCTCGGTCCTCCATTGAAAATTGGACAACAATGTGGTTATTTATTCGACCGTCCCTTCCTCCGAAAGTGGGGCGGGGGTGGTCTCTTGTGGCTCCTCGGAGTTTTCTTGCTGGTGGTCATCGATTGTCATTTTTTTCGGCTTGACGACATCCTCCAGTGTTGGCTGAAATTGGGGGAGAAGAGGGTCCTTTACCAAGGAGTCTTCACTGGGCCGCGCTTCAGCCTCTTTTTCGACCTTTGGCCTTATAATCAATGAGGTGAACGTATAGCTCATTCTCATTGATTTGGCCTTTAGGGTTCCCATGTCTTCGTCTCCGATGCCGAACACGAAGAGATGGCCCTTAGGGTCTTTTTTGATTTCATGGTGGAAGATGCGCCATAACGCCACATGCAAGTTTGGGTTTTGCCGCTCAAGTCGCCTGAGCACAACTTCTTTCTCGTCAAGGTCAGCTACTACTTTTAAAGCTAACTTTTTTTTAAACAATTGCGAAATCTAATACTTCTGAAACAGAAATGTTTTACTCAATTGAAATCTACTATTTCTGAAACAGAAAATTTTCATTTTTTCTGTCCAGATATCTCCTCCGTAAGTAAGGATGCAATAGTAGATGCTTAAAATCGCAAAGAAAAATGATGCCAGTAAAATTAAAATTTGCTTATAAGGGCCGATTCCACCGTTGTGTTAAACGAAGTTTAAATTACTAAACGAAGATTAAGATGATATTTTTTATTACCAATGTCATTAACCTTCGTTTAGTCATTAACACAACGGTAGAATCGGTCCTAAGCTTCCTAAATACAAAACTTTCTTTATATTGTCGTGAGCCACCCTAAGTCGACTTTGATCACCTTCACCGTTAGAGCTGTCGCTTCGTCTGTTTCGACACCGCAGGACAAAGACAAAACTATACCTATTCTAATTAAATTAATGGAAATATTCCTCCATCTCACCATATCTATATATGAATGAGACTGATGCATTGTTTTTCTCTCCGAAACTAAAATATAATAGAGTACTAATGGGTAAACTTGTAATCGTATATGAACTTTATCGAAACAGTCGGAAGCGACTTATTGCTTACTTCGCTTCCAGCTAGCCGAGAAAGTAACTTTCCCGGCTAGCATGTGTAACTTTCTTACCAGAAAATGTCATTCACTATGATATGCTTTCGTAAGGGTTTTCGTATTTCTACCTGCTTTTTTTCGAAATCATACCTTTGGCTTTTTCCGCAACTACTGATAGATCTAGTGGGGTTCATTCAAGTTAACTGTCTGACATATTTGTATGTACATAAAGTCAATTTTATTATTAAAAGTGCCATTTAATAGTAAGGGAGAAGAAAAACTCAATTTTTGGAATAAAATAAAGTAATGAGTGCAAAATGTAGCTTTGCACCTTATCCCATAATAAAACGAGGAAATAATGTTGACAATCCCCAGCAAACACACATTAATGGCCCAACACTGGCACAGTAGATGTGAACAGTACTTGAAGTGTCGGCACAGCCTTTGTGTCAGACCACACTGCCGGCATCCCCGCCTCCAGGCGGCCGACGATTTTCAGGCATACAATTCCCCGTCACTTGCAAATGCAGGAAAAATGCTTTAGAAGCACACAAGATTGTTAACAAATTAGTACTGAAAAAGTACTCTTCTTGTATTTTTCGTCTACAGTAAACTCAGATTTGTTTACGAAAAACAGAGTTACGTTATTATATCGATATTCGCTATAATAAAGCAAAAAATTAGGTACGTAAACCAATCTTAACTTGACTTGCAGGTTTTTAGGTTTTATTAATATATGAATAATAAGCATAATCAAAAATAATAAATGTATTAAAAAAAACATACAAATCCAATATTTAAAAAATATATGAAGCACCTAGGGCTATCGGACTGGGATTATCGGGCTAAGACTATCGGGTTGCTACATAATTCAAGATAGCATTGTGCCCCAGACGTAATAAAAAATGTGACATCTAAAATAGAAAACATACAGTATAAGTATAATGAATAAATTAAAAATGAAAACACAATTAAATGCAACCAAGTTAACTGCAACCAACTCACCTGTAATTGTAAGATTTCTTTTCGACCATGACACCCTGACAATAATCAATAATTCATCTATCATAACCATCTTTCACATCATTCCACGAATGCAGCGACACTGGTTGATTATACATATGCCTAGACTAGAATGATTTCTTCGCCCATCGTCTGGAAAGCTGATTTTTCGAGATGGGAGCTACTGCTCCCGTCTGGAGTTTAAAATTTGGCCATCATGCAAAATAAATGTCCTCATTAATTAAAAATTAAAAACTTGTTACGACGTCACTCGTTTTACTCTGTAACACCTTCAACTAAACCATTCATTATCGATCAGATTCATGCTCTACCTCATTCATACAGTGATACCTTCTGAGAGAGGGACCAGTTTTATAAGTGGTTAAAACCTGTTTAGCCCTTGTAATATTAGCTAAAGACTTAGCATGATCCAAATGAACTCTTCCCTGAGAGAACCGGGCATGGTCCGGACACCACAGCCTTCTCTAGGTTGGAGAGCTCATCGCAAACCACACCTGCCTTGACCAACGGGTTTATAAGTTTCGCCATTTTACTATTTCTTGTTTGTTGAGTAACCTCGAACTCCTTCGAAGCCTCAATCGGCCACACCTGCGTCGCCTATAATCTTAGAAATCAAAGTCGACACCTTGACCCACCAAGGAGGTGTCATTACCTAATGCCTCGCCTGGATTTAGGTTCTTACCAACCTCTATCGCCTCGCCATCACTTGTCATCCTAAACTTTTTCTAAAATTTATTCATTACGGTCTATTTTAGAGAAATCATGTACATGATATTTAAAGAATTTTCTTCTACAATAATAAATAACAAAACTTTTCTTTGTAGTACAAAAAACGACCACCTATAAATTGTCTCTGAAAAGAAATGACTGGGTTATTTCAATCAGTCGAAATAAAATGGGCAAGTTTTGGTAGTTTGCTATACAAATATTTGGAATAACCCAATCCAAGAAGAGAGCTAATTATGGTACAAATAATAATAGGAACTTTCTTACCCGTATCTCCCGATGATTCCGCAGAAGAATTCTAAGGTGCCATGGTGATGGAATATTCATTTACTAAGATGCTGCCTGGTACAGGTTTTGAAGTCGATACGGCCACCACAGCTAAGGGAAGACACAAAATTTCGGTGTGGATGCATCAAATTCAATAAAGTTTCATTAAGTTCCTTATGTTGATTCATAACATTTTTATGCATCAGGAACTGCTGAGTCGCCAGCTCTTGTAGTTGACCCTGTTGTTCAGGAAAAGACTCACAAACCCCGTAAGTCGTACCTCTCTCCAATTTTTTTCTTATCTGCCGCTATCTCAACTTCGTCACTTGAAGATCATATGCTGTCGTTGCGTTCCAAATTGGCGAAAACGGCTAAGAAAAAAATTACACGAGGCAGCTAACAAAATTTTGAAAAATTACATTAATATCTAGGAAAACACTAAATGGACACCAGAAAGGAAAACAAAATAACAAGAACCTGCAGACAAAGAATTCGAACGACATGAAAACGAAAACACAGACTAGACACCAGAGAAGAAATCAAAATAACAAGAACCCTAAAAGAATTGGAACGACATGAAACCGAAAAATCTACATGGACACTAAGTACTAAAGAAAGCAAAATGCCAAGTGCAGACAGACAAAGAATTCAAACGACATAAGAAGAAAACGCTGAACGGATACCAGGAAATAAAAACAAATACCAAGAACAGATGGGCAAATCGGCAGAAAAGAAAATACCAAGAACAGACGAACAAAAACCGAACGACACGAAAATGAAAACCCTGAATGGGCACTTGAATCAGCATTAAAGGAACGGCTCTTAGACATTTTTTCATAAACCAAAAACTGGCTCCTTAAAGGTGCCAACTACTTTTTGAAGGTAGGATTACAAACAGCAAGAGAGTATACTTGCGTGTTTTTGAAATATGAAACTAAAGTAGGTATATAGGCAATGCAACGGGGGATTGAAACGCAAAGATAGAAAAATATTTCATTTGAGAAATCGGCTATAGACCATAAACAGAAATTGACTCAAGACGATTGACTTTTGTAAGAAAAGATAAAAAAATACCAAGAACCTGTGGACAGAGTTGGCTTCGCGTCACGTTCTAAATAATTTGCCTAAGAATGTCTTTTTAATGCTATGACTTTTTAATAAAAAGCTATTGGGTTTCAAACTTACCTAAAACTTGTGTTTTCTGGAAATCATTTCACGTACTATTATTTTTCCCCCTTGCTCTTCATATGTATTACCATTGTATTTAGATCTAAATACAATGGTATAACTGGTAAATTAATGATCCGTCAGATTCAACTAACTTGTTATTATGTTGCCTAGCAGGTTTCACATCTTTGTTAAAAAAAATATAAAATTATCATAGAAATTAATATCAATATTAGGTATTATTATTATTATTATTTGAAACATACACTCAGCGGCACGAAAAAAGGAGCACATGATACTATTGTATAAAGAACTAAATACAAAATACAACGCACAAAACAAGGCGCCTTTAGATTTGGATTAGGTAAATAAATGGCGATTACGTTGTATTGACGACATCTAAGTGTAAAAGTTTGAAGCGTGCTAATAATTATTACAGTTTCCGTCTGCATTAAAATTTGACATTTAAAGAAATCGGCTATGAAAATCAGTGTAAACGTCAGAAACAGATGTCAAAAATCAAAACACTGAAAACACAAAACATTTTAAAACCAAAACAGTAGTCTTGTAAATATCAAAATTTTAAAAATCTGCGTCAGTCAACAGTCAAACTTAAATAATTAATAATTATAATGCAGTAATTATATTTGACACGCCTGCCTACGTATATTTATATATAAATGAAAAACATACATATGTGGAAAAGTTAGTGCTTAGTGATTTGCTATTCATATGAATATTTGCATACTAGTAAGAAAGTATCTACTTCATTCTACTTTTACTTGATTAGTTCAAGTTTATTTGTTACTTTACATTACACATCCCTATTCCTAATGTTAACAAACATTGTTTTACTGTGTTTTGCACTTTTAAGTAATTTTGGTAAGTTTATTTAAAACGTTTCCCACAAAATTTATTTGCTTTGTAATATTCCAGGTACAACCCAATCCGTTAATAAGTGGGATGGTAAATGGTTTCCTAGTATTCCTGATGGCGAAGACAGAAATCCAATTATTCCATTTAAAAGAACTGATTTAACAGATCACAAACATGGAATTAAAATGGGCATCAAAGATGCAACATGTGATGATGCCAAAGTGAGTATTCATTATTAATTTATATATTATCATTTCATACTAGATAAAATTGAACTGGATTATCATATTACTTAGCTAAGCTATATCTTTTAAATGAATGCCAAATGTTGATCTATTTTTTTGTTTATTATAAATTATACCTACATAGGTAACCTTAATATATATTTTTTAGAAGAATTGTCTTAATTCTACCTGTAAGTATTAAGATGTAGGTATTTTTTCATATCCTGGCATCCACTTAAGTGTGACTAGTTTTTGTATGCCTAGGACTTCTGAGTTTTGTACCCTCTACCTCTACAATATCCAAAGGACTGTCTGGCTGCAAGCAACAATACACAGATATTTGTTGAGGTTTCTTTGTTGGTTTTCTATTGTCCCAGGTGCTGGCCCTTCTGGTGTATTGATATTAACATGTTGACTACCAAATATGAGATAACTTGTAGTTTACATTTTTAGCTAGGATGCCCACTTTAACTTGTAGTTTGTTTATCTATTTTATTCATGTAGCTATGAGTAAATTTGAAGTATATTAGTGTAAATATGAATAGATAGCTTCAGTGTAAAATTGGGCTGTTAGTCAACCAGTCTAAAGACTGATAGGCCCTCATATAAAGAGGTGTCTCGAGAAGAATGCTTAACCAAATGTGCAATTATTGTAAGATATGTATGTAATGAAAAAGTAAATGTAGAAAAAACGAGTAGTGAACCCTTCTTTAAGATTTTAAATAGTGAGCTAATGAAGATCGAACTTTATATCAAAAACGTCATCTGCTGCTGTTTTGGTGGTTTACAGGCCCAAATCAAAGCTAACATGACATTATCAGTTTACACTTGGGGTGATATACATGTTCTATATCTGGTTGTTTGTGATGTCACAGAGAATATCATAAGATGTAATTTTTTTTAGTTTCTTGAATAGAACAGTTTGCTTTATGTTGGAATTATATAAAAAAATTCAATATGGAAAAACGAACTTAACGAAAATAATTTAAAAGTCTGAAGAAAAATCAAAAATCGTTATTAGTTCTGATTTTTTAGTTTTGAATAATGTGTTTTGGTCTATTTTAAGAGGAAGTAATGCCCCTCTACTAAATAATGTACAATTAAATCGATTTTACATAAGCACACTGAAATTACAGCAATAATGTTTCAATTGTTATCAAGAATATACCTACTTAATCATTGTTATCGCTTACAACCATCTCAGTTATAAGAAAACTTGGAAATAATATAATTTTCGATTTAATTTCTATATTTTATTAATACCTATAAACACGGTCAAATAAAAAATAATGTATGAAATACGAATCAAAAGTGAATTTTCGTCCTTATAACATAAATTACTATAGTGAACTACTAAAAACCATTTTAAAATTGATTATTGGAGATTATTGATCATCTGTGTGACAGGTAAAATAATGATCAATTTTAATATACGAGTATATTATTAGTATTTCACTAAATGATTTGGTTTAACTAGTGTTTGTTAACCAAAACCAGCCTTTTTTGGCATGTATTTTTAATAATTTTTACTTCCAAAATATGTTTTTATTTATTATTATTTCCTTTATTTAGCTAGTTTGCTAATATCACAATATACAAATTTAGTAAAAATATACATATACATATAAGTCAAAACATAGATAATTTAGATACAATTAAAACTAACTAAAATTCTATAGCTTGTTACTGTTTCTGGAGAAATATTCATAAATTAAGAAATCTGTCACTTTGACGTTAAATGTAGTTACAGACGTTACTGATTTAATTTTCTCTGGAAGTGCATTATATTGATTTAGACCTTTAAAAAATAGTGAATTTTGTGTTGCACTCTTGAAAACTGTTTCAATATAAAAGTTATTTCTGTTCCGCCTTGGATAATTTTGCACATTAGAGTGATAATTAAGCTTCTCTTTTAGGTACATTAAAAGTAACTCGTGTTTGATTTTATAAATAAAAATTAATGCATTCCGTAATAAGAGACTTTTGATTGGCAGCCACCTCAAAGTTTCAAGCATTAGATTAATGGAAGTATATTTTGAACAGGATAATATTATTCGCATAGCCCTATTCTGCAGCTTCTGTAGTTGGTTCAACTCATTTTGATTTAGTAAAAAGAGTATTTTAGAGCAATAATTAAAGTGAGGTACAATTATAGTATTATATATAATACATTTAGTCCACTGTGATAAGCCAAATCAACTTTTAAATAGGAAATTTAACTTGAACGCAACAGTTTTGATAACAGTGTTGGCATGATCTATGAATCTCATCTACTTGTCAATCATTACCCCTAAGTATTTGAATTTTTCTACTAACTGTATAGAATTTCCTCCAATTGTTATGTTATATTGTTTATCAACAAACTGTGTATAGTTATAGTTGCTACTTATCAGCATACATTTTGTTTTATTTGTGATAATTTTCAACAAATTATTGCAACACCATTTATAAACATGTTGCAGTGTTTCATTAACAACTCTTACCAAGTTATCTGAATCCTTACAAAAAAAATATATTAGGGCATCATCAGCAAACAGGTGAATGTTGACCCTTGAAATCAACAATGTCATTGATATACACTAAAAACAACAGGAGACCTAATATACTTCCCTGCGGAACACCTCTGATATAGTTAATTTCCTCTGACAAAATGTTATTTACTTTTAACTTTTGTTTTCTCTTACTTAGATAATCCACACACTACTCCAATGCTTGTTCTACTATACCCATACTTTTCAATATTTTTATCAAACGGTTTTGATCAACAGTCTCGAATGCCCTTTGAAGATCTATAAAAACTGCCAATGTTAGATAGTTTTTATCAAATTTATATTTCCAATCATATAAAACAAACTCGATAGCTGACTTACAGTTATGTTTGCTTCTGAAGCCCGATTGTATTCTAATAATAAGTTTATTTTGTTCTAAAAAAATTAACAATTTGTTCATAAATTACCTTCTCAATGATTTTTTCGATACAACTTAACATAAGTACTAATAGGCCTTAAATCTGTAGCTTTATTTGCTTTTTTTGTCTTTGGAACAGGCACTACCATAGCAATTTTTGGAGCATTAGGTATTTTTGAAATTTCTAATGACGAATTTATCAAATGTAAAAGTGGTTCTGAGAGGTTGGGAAAACAGTTTTTTAAAATATTAATGCTCTCTGTGCTACTTTTATTTTTCATTGCAAAAAGAATGTCTCCTAAAGAATGTCTCCTAAAGAATCCACCCTACATAGTTGAAATTTTCCAAGAAAATGTCCATTGTGTCTGTCTGAAATTTGATAATCTGGTATTGTATGATCAATCATACTAGCAATCGATTGGATACTGTCTATGTAAAATTTATTAAGAGCATTTGACATGTCAGAAATATTTTTTATAATAACATTATTTTCTAGTTCAAGTTCAATTAAGTTATTCGACTTATTATTTTTTGGAATCAGACATTCAAGATATTTCCACATTTCCATTGAATTTCCCCTACTTTCGTAAATATTTTTCTCCATGTGTTTACTTTTTTCTGTTCTAATTACGGCCCTATTTCTATGAATTTTGTATTCATTCCAATTATTTTCTGTTTTTTCTTGTGAATAATTTGTATATGCAAGGTCTCTGTACCTTGTGGCAGCTTTTACGTTTTCATTCCACCATTTTTTGTATTTAGGAAATATTTTTATTTGTTTTTTTTTTGGCGCTACAGAATCTAATACGTTTAAAATATTTGTTACAAAATTATCATATTTTGTATTAATGTCATAAATATGATAGTTCCATGCTAATGTTGAAAGTTTGTCCTAAGATTTCTAGTGGTGGTATCTAGCAGAGCTGGGTAGTAATTGCCTCGAAAGTGCTTGAAAAAGTGCTTCAAGCACAATGCTTGCAACTACTTTTAAAATATATTGCTCGGTAATTGGTAATTAAAGCCCTTTATTTAAGGTGCTTGGTAATTGAATTTTGCATTTCAAGCTATTTAAAGTGCTTGCAAGCACAATTAGGTTTCAGTGCTTGCAAGCTCTCTAGCGGGAGGCCCTAGACATCCCAATCCGATACCTTCTTGGAAGAGAATAAGTCTGACTATGCCTTATATGAACAGCATATTTATTAAAAATCAAAAACAAAAGAGTACTCGTATTTTTATTGTTAAGTGTGATTAACTACTAACAAGATAATTTGTAAGATCTTTTTTTCATCAAAACATATCCTCTGTACTTTTCGATGATTGCTATGTACTATAATTAGAGTTTTTAATTGGCTTTTTAGACCGAAATCCTGAAAATTACCATGGCAGTCAATGTGTTAATAATACATTTCACAAAGTTCTGATTTGCTTCATAGATTGCATCATTATTAGGATTAGATGTTATTTAGTTTTTCTAATAACATGCTAGTCCTCATATCTTCGAATGTTTCAAACTCCTACCATTTATGACTAGCAGAATGACTAGTGGAATGACTAGCTTATAGTATCTTTATTAGTTGATATAAAATAAAAAGAAAATGTCTCTTGCTTGTTGCAAAATAGATAAGTAGGTACCTACTTATATGTTACTAATTAGTTACTGAATAAAAAATTAACCAAGCACAATAGATAAAAGTACATAAAAAATGATTAACATATTTTGTTTTTAATTTGAAAACAATTAGAATGATTAGTAGACAAATTGAAAAAGAATTAGATAATAAATAATGCTTTATTAATGAATATTTTGTATTTTCTCATGAACTTATATATTTCTTAATATTCCTATTCCTACTAATAAATAAATAAATAAATAATTTAGCTGTTAGGATTTGAAAATAAAAGGATGTAAATGCCGATGCGTTATATGGACATAAGAACTACACAGGCAACTGCGATTAGTGTAGAAAGAAGGTTTGGCAAACAATAGTTTTTTGCGTTTTTTCTCAGAACTTACATAATGTCGCTTGCCTCCTTTCAACAATAAACGATTCAAATATATTTTTTACAAGAGATTATAAACATCTAATAAA